GCATCTTCGGATGTAGGACTTCTGAATTTTGATTAAGGATAACCAATACTAACCAAAACACAATTTATTTTATTAAATGAAGTGAAAAATTAGTCCTATTTCATTTTCTTTTCTATTTTCCAAGGTAAACCTGAACACAAGTAAATTTCTATTCTTAACAGTTTATTTCCTTTCCATAGCAATATCGGAGATCCAAACATGCCCTAAGAGTAGGTAGAATATTGATTCAGATAGGATACGCAATGGATTTGGCCACTGATTCAACTTTATTTGGAGTGTCTTTCTTCAGAGGAAGCTTCACTATAGTTTTTTCCCTGAAGTCATGAAACTACAGTTCACAAACTGCTAGGAGCCTAGGAGAAGACATTATTAACCATAGTAACTGCATTAAAAAAGCACTTGGGATGACTTATTTTCAATGAATAAGTGCCCTTTAGAGGATGAAAAGTAGTATTTTTAGTTCAAAAAGAAAAGTTTGGCAAGCAATAAAAAAAGTGCTTTTAGCAGTTTGAAAAAAAAATCAACTTCAATGAATAATGATTATTCAAGAAAGCAGTTTAAGTGCTTAAAATGATTTCGGGTCGGTTTGGAAAGATGGAAAATGGCTTCTGCAAAATAAAATTCATTTTCTGGTGTTTGGTTGAAAGTTTAAAAAAGGAAAAACTAGTTTTTGTTATAAAATAATGAAACATGGTGAGATTGGATCCAAGAAGTAGGAGAAGGGTGGAAAATATCTTCTGCCGAAAAAACGGAAATCATTTTCCACAAAATAGGGCTCATTTTCTGTTGACTTCGAAAATCATTGTTTGTTTACTCTTATTTTTAAGAATAGCCAAACACCAGAAAATGGGAAAATGACTACCAGAAGTCATTTATCCTTTTCCCAAACAGACCCTCATACCAAAAGTGATCCCAAACGGGATCTAAGTCAAAATTAGTAGAGATACATCCAAGATGGAACTAGAGCAAATAGAACATACTTTATGCCTTCGGGCTGTGGACCACTCGGGGAAGATGTTTTATTAGTTTGCTGCTAAAGATCAACAAATTTATTAAAAAAATTAGCCTTCAGATAGTCTTATATTTATATGATTGATTGAAGTACTTCGCATCTACTCAACAGTGGGGAGAAAAAGATGAAGTAAAAGGAAAAAAAGAACACTCTGAACAACATTGAATTTACCTTAGAATGATTATTAGACTTCAGAGAAGAAGGAACAAGCTTTGTATTTCTCTCAGAAGCTTTCCTCTCATTAACTGAATTACCCTTTGCGCCAAGGGCAGTAGGTTGTTTCGGCAGTGATTTGGAGGGCATGGTTCCTTTTGGCTTTCCGTCTTTGTCCTTCTTTGCCCCAGAAATCACTGAATTTCCACTGCTTGAAGGTTTCCCATTTTTGAGCTTTCCAGAAGCTTTCTGTGGTTTGTCACTCTGGTGATCTGCAGAATTCTTAACTTTTGATTCCTACGGGGTATGTTTAGATCATAGAACACGTTAGCGAAAAGAAAAAATGATATGGAAGTCATTAAGTTGTGCTTTGTTTGGTCTCAGAAAATGCAAACTAAAATCAAAGATGAGAATGTTCTTAAATCTTTTTTTACGGATGTTCAGATTACTTAAGTCTTTACATATGGAGTATTAAAAAAATTGATACTATGTAAATAAAACGAGCACAACAAACAGCAAAGATAAACTATTGAGTGTGAACAAGTGTTTCGTCCCCNCCCCCCACCCACTCCTACACCCACACATTTTCTATCCTTCCAAATTCCCCCATAGTTCTTCTTTCGCTATCATTTTCCAATTTCCAAGCAGTACTATAAATAAACGCCTTTGACATGTTATGATTCTTAATAAAAAACAAGATTAGTCATTGAACTAGATGCCGTCCTACCTTACAACTAACACTGCCATTGCTATAAGGAGGCACTATCGATTTGTCCCCAACCTCTTCAACGGATGTTTCAACAGCTTCATCTTCCTTCAAAATGACAGAACTTGAAAAGTTCTGTTGCACTTCTTCAATCGTAGGACTCCCATTCGGTACCCCTTCAGACTTATGAGCCGCAAGTTCTTCCCCGGCAGGCTGAAGTTGTTGCAGAAGTCCATTTTCACATGCCTCAACATTCAGAGACAGAGGTGTGTTGTTGTCTGTATCCATCAAACTTTGCAAGTTGCAATCACTAGACTGCAACCCTGACTAGGAAAAATATCAGAAAATGCCCATTAACACACATCGTAGACTATTAAAGAAGTTTCAACCAATACTTAGTCAGTGATCACTGACCTAAAAGTGATAGCTTGTGCACTAAAACTATTAGTAAAAGACACATATTGCCCTAAAGGTGATACAGTTTACCAAAAGAGTGATATATGGCACCAGATTGATATGGTTTGCACTAACCATGATCCAGGCTTGCCTCATGGATTAAGACATATAAGGCGGTCTCATACTTTTACAGCCTAATAGGTATACTGCCTGTTTCTTGAAATGATATGGCATTATATTCTAATTCTACAATAGTATCTTTTTTATTACCAATTTCTTTTAAATTCGTAAAGGTCAAGAGTTTACAAATCAGCAAAAGCACTAAGAATAGGAGTGCAGTGATAAATCATAACCAATGAGTTCAAAACACCATATACAATCGCTATAAAGAATCAGAAGAAAAATTACAGGAAAACAAAAACCAATTCCTCTAGATCAAATAAAAACGAAGTTAAAAAAAGGAAACATAACATAACTTCTCCACTGAACCAGATCTTTGAAGGAAACAGAGAAAAAAGATTCAACCTTTCTCACACCCTCTGTCGTGAACTACAAACCCAGAAGCCCATTTGCAATGCACGCAGATAAGCAAACAGAAATACACACAGAAAAGCTTTTAAACACCGACAAATACACATATTCACACAGATACGCATAACAAAAAGTACAAAGGGCTTACCAAGAACCATAAAAGAAAAGAAATAAGTGTTGAATAGGAAGAACCCAGTCAAGAATCGACCATGGATCTGAGAGCAGAGAAAAGGGGGAATTCCCAAAGCCCTAAAGAAAATTAGAAACGTGTACTTTCAATTATGTATGGGTGAATGAATTCTTGTTCTTTGAGATTCTTGGAGCTTACTCTCACTCTTTCTCTCCTGGGACTAGGCTAGATTCTAGATGCGGCCTAAATATCTCTCAGAAGAAGAAAAAGATTGGGTTTTTTTCCCCTTCTTTCGTTCTATTTTTTTGGTGTTTATGGTTCGTATAATTTTGGGTTTGGTTGCTGGTGTTTTTTCTCTTTTTGTTCATTTGCCAGCGATACTCAAATCCATTACAGATCACTTGGCTGTCGGAAGAGAGAGAATCTACTGATATCTCTCTTCTCTCTGCGTGTTTGGTGCTGCCGTCCGCTCTGAGAAATTACTCCTGCTCGGGTAAAACTTTCACCATGGTTAGTTTAGTAGGGAGTAAAAATTGGTCGGATGACCGAACGGGCGAACCAGACTCGAATTCAATTCTTTTGATAAGCCAAAAGTGGCCCGTTCAGCAACAATTTCAGCGTGTAATATTATCGCGCTTTAATTTGGTTATTTATGGCTGTGTTTTAATTTAATAATTTTAAAATAACGCTAGTTCGGACTAGATACTCCCTAGTACTCAGGAGCGATTGAGTGACCGAAGTGATGAAGTGAAGATGTCAATTATTTTTTTATTGGTTGGAATATATATTAGATTTTGATTAGTTGAAAAAGAAATGAGCCATTACTGGATGACTGTCATGGCGAAATGGGCAATGCCCCTTCACGCCAACTATGAAATGGGAAGGGGGCATGAGGGGCTAGTAACACTTTGGGGAAACGCCTCATAACGGACGACCTTATTATTGAGAAATGATCTTTGTAATTTCCCTTTGCAATACGTTGTTGTTGTCTGGTCTCATATAGCAATGATAAGATACACTGCTGCAACGATGGTATATACGGTCTATACCTTATTCTTTTGGATTGAAATTTCAGAATCAAATATTTTAAAAAATTAAAAGGGGTTCGAAGAAATTAGAGGGATTCAGAAAATATTAAAAAAATTATAGTATTAAAAAATCACTCAATTTAATGATCACCCAAATAAATCTGTAAAAAAATTTAATTTTGGATAAAAAAATATCCCTCTCCGTGTTTGAGATCGTATGTTATAACTTTGGATATGTAACATTTTTGTATATTCATTATATAAAAATTGCTTTTTAAAGTTGTTTGAAGAAACTAGAACGAGTTGGAAAGAATTAGAAAAAGTTAGAAAACAATGAAAAGTTAATTTTTCAACCCAAAAGAACCGAGTCTAACAATAGAAACAAGTTTTAAGGATCATTGATACAAAGGGTGTAATTATTATACGGAGTATGTGGTAAATCGGTGAATATGTAATAAATTAGATGTAAGGAAGAAGATATAGTGAAGAGAAGGAAGATGATATTTACCATCAGGTGTGTGAAAAAAGATGGAGCAAATGTGTGATAGGTAAGTATCAGTACTAGTTTGTGGAAATTGATCCTCTGCGAAACAAACATGACGGGAGACATATGTCTTTTCAGAGGTCGAATCATAACACTTATAGTCTTGGTGGGATGATAACTAAGAAAAACACATGGAGTAGAGCGAGTTTGGAGTTTGTGCTGGATCTGAGGCCGAAGCCACAAGCACACGAGACAACCAAAGGAACGAAGCTGGACAAACTCTGGTGACCGCCTATAGAGAACCTCAAAGGGATAAATTTTTGGTAGGAATTTGATGGTCATACCCTGGTGACCGACTATACTCAGGGGCTCAGCTTTTATTCCATCTCAAGATTGACTTCCTCTGAAAGGAGCCATCCAGAAAGCTGATTGAGAGTAATGTCTCTATTTTGTAGAAGAATGTTTTGTTTGAAAGAAGAGTACTCGATAGGGAGATTGCGAATAAGCGCATTTACAGAATCACATTTAGGGGTCGGTCAACGAAAAAATAAATTTCATACTAGGGAGACCTTTGCTTCAACATCATAATACAATCTGATAATAATTGGTCTTAATCAATAATGAAGGTTTTATCCCATAGAGAATCTTAATCACAATAGGATAACAACAATGGCAGCACTAGAATAAGGAAAACAAGTAATAACAATATCTTGTTTTCCTATTACTAATTAATGGTGAGGTGGAGAAGAAGAAGAAGTCTCAATTTTGTGAATGGCAAATTTGAGTTCCTTTTGAATGTTGAACCTGGAAGGGGACAAGACAATGTCCTTCCAAACAGAGCCTGGTTCATAAGCTGGATTAGGGTGATTGTAAAGCTCATATATTGAATCTGCTTCTTCATTTAACCTTCCCACTACTTTCAACACCTTTATCTCCTCTGGATCCACTTGTAATGTCTTGTCTTTGTCCTTCCACCCTATTAGCTGCACCCAGCCACATTTAATCACCAATATAGAGGCATTATACCGAGAATAGATCGTAGATAAGATGGTTGAAAATATATGAAACTCTTTGTATATCCCGAGTTCGAACCCATTTCAGGGAAGGAGTATTTATAGGTTTGTGTGGCAATCACGATGCACAGTGACCAATATGACCTTTTTGATGCATTCAAAAAGTAATGAATGTAGACATAATGTATGTCCATGTTCATTCAACATTTGATAGCAGTCAGTCAAAAGTAGACGTGATGTATGTCCATTAAAAACTTAACGAATGTAGACGTGATGTATGTCCATGTACACAACGTTTGATACGGAGTATGAGCATGTTACAAGAGCGATAATAGTCGGTTAAAAGGGGGGGGGAGAAGGTGGAGTATATATACCTTAGCAGGGCCTTGAATGTCATTTGTGCTGTAGAGTCTTGCAACATCAACAAGGTTGCAATATGTTGTGAATGCATTTGCAAATCTCTTGTGGGATTTTAGCTGTGATTTCACCCTCACTGCTCTTCTGCTCATTATAGCTCTCCTGTCCAACCCATTTTTCAAATATATGTAATTAATCAAGAAACTAAAATAACATGATTAGAGAGTTAATCAGGCAACCAATCTCAGTAATACAATCATAAGATTTGGGAATGATTAGGAACCACCCATTATCCTTTCTTTAATTTTTTGGTGTTGCATTCTACTATTCTAGTGTTGCGTAAAAAATATGGGAAAATGTAACTTTTAACCCCAGAGACAATACCAAAGTTGATACCATCAAGCACAAACAATCATTGTCTCCGAGAAATTAACGGTGTCAGCTTTGGTGTCGTCCGTGTTGTAACTGTAGCATAGTTCAACCCCAACTTTGGTGTCGTCCGTGTTGTACCTTATGCCTCGAATGACAGCCAAATAAGCATCACAAACAACCCCAACAAGCTCAATCCTATAAGCTCTTCGTTTTCTATCCCCATCCATTAGATCTTGTTCTTCAGCAATCTCCCAGTAGTTCTCGCTCACGCTCCCGTCTTCCTTTACCGTGTAACCGGGCCCCATCCGGTACCTTTTCCGGTGAATATTCCGAGCCATCGTGATCGTCTGCACCACAAATGGCAACCACGAGAGGGTCCCGTCCATGATCACGTCGCGCCCCTCATTGAGCGCAGTTACTAGCAAAGACGAAGCCGCATCCGTGGACGATTGATGCACCTAGGAAACATATTCGCCAATTTGAGCAATATACAACAAAAAGAACAATAATAAATGCAGTAGAATCCCACAAAAAGTATGGTAATGGCAGGGTGTGTGTACGCAAACCATGTTCCTACTAGATAGTAGAGATGCTGTTTTCAAGAGACAGCATGCTAAAAAAAAGGTTAAAATATGTTTTTAGTCCCTGTAATATAGGAGAGTTTTGCTTTTGGTCCCTATAAAATATCTTTTGCGCCTTTAAGTGAGTAACGTTTTTCATACTCAGGATTTACTTTGCACTAAGAAGTTAGATATTGTTTTGAATCATATTTTGTCTTTCGTATTCTTGTTTTTCATTTCATATTATGGTGCATTTATTTATTTTTAATGTAGAATTAGAGAACATGTATGTTCATATTTATACTAGTGTGACTTAGTCATACTAATGTATACCAAACATGTTTTCTTATGTGTTGCCGCCTGGGTCGCGTAATTATCGCCTAGACGGTCACCTAGTCGTCTAGGCTTCATGGCGGTACACTAGCGCAACGCCTCGCCTTGGTGCCGTGACAACTATGACTCTAATACATACACAAAAAGCACAGAAAGTACAAAAGCCTCAAGTAACTAAAACATTAAAACAAATCATCAACGAGCAATGTGAATCACAAAATCTTTCCCAATTTTTCCCCCTAAAATGAGATGAGAATGAAACTTTGGGACACTAAAAAAAGAAGAAGGCAATTATGGAGTACCAATTCAGCAGTTTGAAGCATGTCATGGTGATGTCCCCTAGAACTGAGGGCTTTATAGATGACATCCGATTCTTTAAAGGCATCTGCCTCTATCACAACTGCATTTCCCTTTGCTTCAACCCAGAATGGCCTATTATAACCAAAACCAAATAGCCAGTTACTATTAGTAACAACATAAAAGCTGCATTTTGGTTAGTGATTCTGATACAGTGCTACTCTTATATTAGAAGATTTAATCCAAATATCCAATCCATTATCTAATTCAACTCAAAGTTTTATTAACACATAGTCCATATGTATGGGAAACTCTGAACTATGTTAGTTACTTACTCTTTGAGGATATCCTTGAGAACAGTGCTTTTGCCGGCGCCCATACCACCACCCATGAAGAGGAGGACAGGGCTTCTGTCCTTGTGAGCCGTAGGGACAATCATGTCCGCACGCCTGCAATCATCTGCTGCAACCTGTCCTATGGCTTTCATCTCCTCCACTAAGGTGTTGAACACTCTTACCACCTTCAAGTTCTTTGTCACTCTCTCAAATCTCTGTTCCCTGTTGGTACATTTATTTTTATTTTTTTTAAAATTGTTTCACTCAAAGAAAAATGCAAGAAATGAAACCAAAACGTTTCTGGTGACAACAAATTTTTGTTCTACAGTTGTTTGTTCAAACCACTTTTGACACCGAAAAAGAAGTTCAAGGGTAACTTTTTTCCGTGAAGTTCTTTGGTGTCAAATGTGGTGGAACCAAGTTTAATTGATTTGTTTTTACGTACCTTGTTGCTTCCATTACAAAATTTTTCAGCTTTTTTCCCGGCCCAGGAGACTTGTCAGCACTTACCAGTGCCTGTAAATTATATAGGATTTAAAGAATTGCCTTAGACTACACTTAGTTTGAGAAAATATTGGGAAAAATGTGTGATTAAGATTCAATTAGAGTAGAGAAAAAATATTGTGAATCACATATTCTCATTCTTAAATGGGATAAAAATATGAAATTTATTACAGACAAACAAAAAAGGAAACTGGGTAGTAGACCTGGCTAATCATATTGGAAGCCTGACTCCAATGGAAAGCGAAATAGCTGAGAATCAACATCTCAAACTCCTCCACCAGCTTTACGAACAGGGAATCAGCAGCTGGTTCATTGGCAAAGAAATTGTATATTTCCTCTTCACAACCATCTGCCTTTATTATGTAATCTGAGGCTAATTTGCACAGAGTTGGGCACTCTCTCCTGTCACTAAATCCCATCTGTCTGGCTGCAGCATCATGTCAAAACAACATTGTAACCCAACATTATTTGTGTTTTTCTAAACCATTTTGTTAGGATAAAAGTTCAATATTTCTAAAGGACTGATATGATAAACTTGAGAGCATTCTAAACTTAGGAGTTTGTGCAGGGAATTTTACCTACATATTGAGGAAACCCTTCAAGCTTGAAGGTCTGGCCTAATTCCGGCAGAAGTTTTAACCTGGGCCCAATTTTCCAGTCGGGGCGGTGGCAGATTATATTGAAAAAAATCAACTTTAATGAATAATGATGATTCAAGAAAGCAGCAGATCGTTGGAAAAAAGCACTTTTAAGTGCTTAAATTTGAATACACTTATGATCAAATCATTTAGGGTCTTGGAAATATGGAAAATGGCTTATGCAAAATAAATTTATTTTTTGGTGTTCGGTTGAAAGTTTAAAAAATGAATAAACCAGTTTTTGTTGTTATTACATAATAAAATGTGGTGAGTTTGGATCTAAGAAGTAGGAGAAGTGTTAGACAATAATATTAAGTATTCCTAGTTATGGTAGAAGTTGTATTTTAGTTAGTTTCCATTCTCTATTCCTAGTTGTGTTAGTAGTCTTTTCTATATATATTCTATCATGTACTTCATAATTCAAGGAGCAATATTATTATTTCCAATATTTCAACAAGAAGGATGGAAAATGTCTTCGAAAAAAACAGAAATCATTTCCCTCCAAATAAGGCTCATTTTCTGTTGATTTTGAAAGTCATTTTTCGACGACTACTTTCTGGAACAACCGAACACTAGAAAATGGGAAAATGACTTCCCGAAATCATTTCCCCCTTCCCAAACAGACCCTTATACCATAAGTGATCCCAAACAAGATCTAAGTCAAAATAAGTAGAGATACATCCAAGATAGAACTAGAGCAAATAGAACATACTTTAGGCTTTCGGGCTGGGGACCACTCGGGGAAGATGTGTTATCAGTTTGCTGCTAAAGATCAAGAGATTTATACAAATTAGCCAGCAGATGGTTATATATTTATATGATTAATTGAAGTACATTGTGTCTACTCAACATTGGGGAGAAGAAATGAAGTAAAAGGGGAAAAAACAAAACTTTGAGCAATAAATGAGATTGGATTTACCTTAGAATCATTATTAGACTTCAGAGAAGAAGGAACAAGCTTTGTATTTCTCAAAGTAACTTTCCTCTCATCAAATGATTTACCCCATGCACCAAGGGCAGTATGTGGTTTAGCCAGTGATTTGGAGGGCATGGTTCCTTTCGGTTTGCCATCTGTGTCCTTTGCCCCAGAAACCACTGAATTTATAGTGCTTGAAGATTTCCCATTTTGGAGCTTTCCAGAAGCTTTCTGTGGTTTGTCACTCTGGTGTTCTGCAGAATTCTTAACTTTGGATTCCTATAGGGTATGTTTAGATCATGGAACATGTTAGCGAAAGGAAAAAATATGCTGCAATAGTCATATTGTTGAGTTTTGTTTGGCCTGGGAAAATGCAAACGAATATCAAATATGATAGATGTTCTTATTTTTAAAAAAGATGTTAAGACTTCTTAAGTCTTTATATATCCCCCCCCCAACCACACCCCACAATTTCTTTCCTTCCTATGTATGCTACGTGTCGTTGTGCTCTTACTTTGTTCGTGCTATGGTGCTTATCGTATTTACTTTGTCTGCGCCTCCGTGTTCTGAGCGGAGGGTCCCTTAGAAACAACCTCTCTACTTCTAAGTAGGGGTAAGGCCCCAGACCTTATTTTTGTGGGATTTTACTCCGCTTCTCATTGTTGTACCATAACTAAACGACTATGACATGTTACGATTCTTAATAAAACAACAAGATTAGTCATTGTTTAAGATTAGTCATTGAACCAGACAGCATCCTACCTTAGAATTAGCACTGCCATTGCTATAAGGAGGCACTATTGATTTGTCCCCAACCTCTTCAACAGATGTTTCAACAGCTTCATGTTCCTTCAAAATGACCGAAATTTGAAAGTTCTGTTGCACTTCTTCAACTCTAAGACTGCCATTCGGCACCCCTTCGGACTTATGAGCAACAAGTTCTTCCTCGGCAGGTTGAAGTTGGTGCAGAAGTCCATTTTCACATGCCTCAACATTCAGAGACAGACGTGTGTCGTTGTCCGTATCCATCAAACTTTGCAAGTCGCAACCACTAGACTGCAACCCTGACTAGGAAAAGAAATCAGAAAATGCCCCTTAACACATTGTAAACTATTGAGTAAGTTTCAAGAAATACTTAATCAGTGATCACTGATCTAAAAGTGATAGTTTGTGTGGTAAAACTAAACGTAAAAGACACAATTTACCCAAAAAGTGTTAGAATTTACAGAAAGAGTGATACATATATGGCACTAAAACTGATATGCTTTACACTAAGTGTGATAAGACAATATATTCTAATCCCACAATAGTATATTTTTTTAACCAATTGAAATGTTATGGCATTATATTCTAATCCTAAAATAGTACTCCCTCCATCCCATAAAACATTTCCTGTTTCAAAAAAGGCGCGCCCTTAAAATGAGTACTTTTGGTGTTATTTTCTAATTTTGCTCTTACTTTATAAAAGAGTAGGATGAGATGTGTAGAATAGATTAGTCATAATTAAAAAATAACACCAAAATTACTCATTTTAAGGGCGCGCCTTTTTTGAAACAGGAAATGTTTTATGGGACGGAGGGAGTATCTTTTTTTTAACCAATTGTTAAAATTCCGGCGGGCCGATAACAACGGATAGAGTGTCGGGTGAAATTAACCACTTGCATATAAAGTCGGGATCCACAATTCTAATCCAAAAGCTTAAGCTTATAGGTAGGGCTTCACCCTTCAATATATGCAAGTGATACTCATCTTTATTTTCCGATGTGGGAACTCCAACACCAATTTCTTTTGAATTTGCAGAGCCAAGTGTTTATAAATCAACAGAAGCACTAAGAAGGGGAATGCAGCGATAAATCATAACCAATGAGCTCAAAATACCATATACAATTGCTATAAATAATCAGAAGAAGAAAAATTGAAGAAAAATAAAAAACCAAGTCCTTGAGATTAAAAAAACAAAGTAAAAATAAAAACAACATAACATAACTCCTCCACTGAACAAGATCTTTGAAGGAAAGAGAGAAAAAGATTCCACCTTTTTCACACCTCTGTGATGAACTTCAAACCCAGAAGCCAATACGCAATGCAAGCAGATAAGAAAACAGAAACACACACAGAAAAGCTTTTATACATATTGACACAGAGATTCATAACAAAAAGTACAAAAGCAAACAGAAATGGTACAAAGGGCTTGCCAAGAGTCCAAGAAAGACCCAATCAAGAACCGAGCATGGATCTGGGAGCTGAGAAAAAGTGGAACTTCCAAAGCCCTGAAGAAAATTAGGACATGTTTGCTTTGGATTATGTATGTATGAATGAATTCTTGTTCTTTGAGATTCTTTGAGCTTACTCTCACTCCTTTCTTTCTATTTTTGGGGTTTATGGTTGGTATTATACGAGTGCCGAGCACTGATTGCATGCTGGGGTTTCATCTTTTTAGTAGCACGCGTGGGTAATTTTAAATTATTTGAAAAACTCATTTTGTTTGTAGAAATTATTTCAAATAATTATTCTCTTTGTCTCCATTTTTATTACAATTTTATTTTCACTTTCTTTTTGATAACTTTTGTTTATTTGTTTATTTTCATTAAATATTTGATAAAATAAAATATTCTTGTCACCTTTTTTTGTAAAACATTGAACGTAGTTTTTTAATATGTAATTTTTATTGATGTACCAATGACAATTTGTAAATAAAATGATTTTAAAAATTATACAATTTTACATCGTGATTCTCATTTTGTAATTAAAATAGGGATTTAGGGAGTTAGGGAGTACTCCGTATATGATTTCTAAATGATGCAGCTCTTAACTTAATTTCAAATTTAAAATGACATTTATGATCTTCTTTTTCTCTGTCGTGAAGTTTCCCTTTTTCTCACTTTCTATTTCCTTTTTATACAAATAAATAAAATAACATATATGATTTTCATCTCAGATTAAAAAAATTCATTTATTTATTTTTAAAAACAAATTTTTTTTTGGAGTACGTTACAAAAAAAAAGAAAGTGAAAATATAATATATATATATATATATATATATATATATACGATGTAAAAGAAAAAAAGATACAAAAGGTAATGAAAAGGAAAGAAAAATTAAGATCTACTTTGTACCATTTTCTTTTACTCCATATTTTATTTCATCTTTATATTCTTCATTTTTTTAGATCCCAAAAAAGTGGCTTCAATTTTGAAAAAAAATAAGTAAAAATCTTTAATTTGAGACAAAGCGAATTTATGTTTTTTATTTTTATTTATTTCACTTTTACTTGAAATAAAAAAGATATTTTTTCTTTAATGGGAAAATACCAAAATATGAGTAAAATATAAAAAACTTATCAAAATAGTAGTTCAATATTTTTGTGTCCTTAAATAGGAGTCACAATGTTAATAGTGTCAACATACAATATGAAAAAAATTGTGAAATAAAAATAATTAGTGTCAGAGTGCAAACTCTTAATTCGGAGTTAAAAACATAGAATTCCTAGATTGGGGATAAAAGTTATGTTTTATTTATACTTGAGGTGATTTCTTTTTCTTTTATTACCTTTTTTATATTATTTTTTTCTTTTACTTCGTACAAAGTATTTTATTTCATTTTTTTGAAAAATAAAAAGAATGAAATTTTTAAATTGAGATGCAGAGTGTATATGTTATTTTAATTATTTGCATAAACTAAAAAATGAAATTAAAAGAGTGAAACTATTGAGAATTTAAACGACTTTTTTTGGTTGATATTTGACTGAAATTACTTTCAAATCGTTTTATATGAAAAAATGATTTATAATTAAAAAATAAAAATTACATATTTAAAAAATACATAAAAAAATCTACAAAACTAGTGATGACATTACTATATTATTTTATCAAATAACTAATGAAAATAGAAAAAAAAGTGAATAAAATTTGATCATGTGAATAGTAAAAACAAACAATTTGACCTGGGACGGAAAAAGTATGTAATAACAATTGTTTATAAATCATTTAAATTTTTATTTTTTCCTATATCACTATTTTTATGATTCACGAATCACGCTTAATATTGTTTTTTCTTCCATTTTTAATATATATAATACGGAAAACAATTTTATTGAGAAATTTTTTCTTATGGGATGACCCAGGGGTGCTCCAGTGTCCTTAATAGGAATAGTATTATGATAATATGAAGAGTGCTCACTAAACCGAACCAACTCAAGAAAGCCATTCTCCAATAGTAGTGCATATATTCAATTTTGGAATTGTACATCATTTCTTTGTGTCTGTGCAAAACACGACAGTCATGGTGGCACTCATGTGGTGGCATCCTAACATTTTTCTATTTATTTACACACAAAAACATGTGACTAGATGTTCTTATAACACTATTCATCATCCTCTAGAACTAAAAACACCATTACTAACATTAACCAGCAAACATTCCACCCCATACAGCTCACTCCTTTGTATAGTTTCCCTTTCTTAAGTTCCAAAGACAATGTTTTTGTCCCACCTACCACCTATAACTAGGCATTATTTGATTATTCTAAAGCATCTACTGTACTACTTATGGGTAGCATAAATTATGGACATGATGAATATTTAAAAAGAAGAAGAAAAAGAATAGGGCATGTATCCTAACTAATGGTGAGGTGGAGAAGAAGAAGAAGTCTCAATTTTGTGAATGGAGAATCTGAGTTCCTTCTGAATGTTGGACCTGGAAGGGGACAAGACAATGTCCTTCCAAACAGAGCCTGGTTCATAAGCTGGATTAGGGTGTTTGTAAAGCTCATATATGGAATCTGCTTCCTCATTTAACCTCCCCACTACTTTCAACACCTTTATCTCATCTGGATCCACTAGTAATGTCTTGTCTTTGTCCTTCCACCCTATTAGCTGCATCCAGCAGAATATATGAGAATTATACTGAGAATGAGAATTATACTGAGAATAGATTGTCGTAGCTACGAGATATGATGCAATGTGAAAGTTTTTTGTATATTCAGAGTCCGATCTCTTCGGAGTTCAAGAAGCAATCGCGATCCACTTTACAAAGAGAGACATGTGGATCATGAACACTGATTTGGGAGATCGTCTATTTTGTCTGCGAACCCTAGCAATACATACCTGGCTTTACTCTACCGGGTTTGGATCTCACTTTTGGGTCGGGTTGACCAAGCCCATATCACGTGGGTCTCTCAACTCAACGGGATGCAGTCTAAATGTAAATATACTCCCTCCGTCTCATAGATATTTTCTCACTTTTTCTTTTCCATCCATAGTTCCATCATCTCCGATGGAGCCAAAAATTCACTATTTTTTTTTGCTTTGGGGTGTGATGGAATAAATCAAAATAGATCTTTAAATTGTCTGCGCTTCTTTAATTAATGAACTAGTCAATCAATGCAACTTTCTACGCTAAGCCGGGGTCTCTATGGAAACAGCGTCTCTACTTTCGAGTAAGGGTAAGGTCTGCATAAACACACCCTCCTGAGACCATACTCTTGTGGGATTCAACTGTTAGTTGCTAGGAGTACTCATTGTCCAAAACTAGTTAGTGTTACTTGTTACGAGTAGCCGAGTACTACTCATTGTCCACAATTAGTTTATGTTACTCATTAACTATCCATTAATAATGTCACCATCATCAATCGACTATCATATGCTAACAATGGGTTATGACTCCATTCCTTTTTTTAAATGTATTACAAGGGCGATAATAGTCAGTTAAAAGGGGAGGGAAGGTGAGTATATATACCTTAGCAGGGCCTTCAATGTCATTTGTGCTATAGAGTCTTGCAACATCAACAAGGTTGCAATATGTTGTGAATGCATTTGCAAATCTCTTGTGGGATTTTAGCTGTGATTTCACCCTCACTGCTCTTCTGCTCATTATAGCTCTCCTGTCCAACCCATTTTTCAATCTCACTAATATAATGATAAGATTTGGGAATGATCAGGAATCACCCATTATCCTTTCTTTAATTTTTTGGTGTTGCATTCTACTATTCTAGCATTGAGTAAAAAAAATAGTAAAAAAAATTGGAAAATGTAACTTTTAACCTCAGAGACAATACCAAAGTTGATACCATCAGAGACAATCAAGCACAAACAGTCATTGTCTCTGAGAAATTATTTTCTATAAAACACTAACGGTATCAACTTTGGTGTCGTCCGTGTTGTAGCATAGTTCAAAAAAACTATGTTTGTAACTTGAAAGTACCTTATGCCTCTAATGACAGCCAAATAAGCATCACAAACAACCCCAACAAGCTCAATCCTATAAGCTCTTCGTTTTCTATTCCCATCCACTAGATCTTGTTCTTCAGCAATCTCCCAGTAGTTCTCGCTCACGCTCCCATCTTCCTCGACCCTGTAACCGTGCCCCATCCGGTACCGTCGCCGGTGAATATTCCGAGCCATCGTGATCGTCTGCACCACAAATGGCAACCATGAGAGGGTCCCATCCATGATTACATCCCGCCCCTCATTGAGCGCCGTTACTAGCAAAGATGAAGCCGCATCCGTGGACGATTGATGCACCTAGGAAACATATTCGCAAATTTTAGCAATATACAGAAACAACAACAACAATAATAATAACAAACGCAGTAGAATCCCACAAAAAGTATGGTAAGGGCAGGGTGTGTGTTCGGCTGTTCGCAAACCTTATCCCTACTAGGTAGTAGAGAGGTTGATTTCAAGAGATAATTAGATCAAAAACAGAAATACAGACAAAGAACCCACAGCAGCACAATGATGTATGAACATATAAAGACAAAAGAAACATACAAACCAACATTAATACGTAAACAAAAAGCACAGAAAGTACAAAAGCGCCAAGTAACTAAAACATAAAAACAAACCATCAACACAATTGAGCATTTGTGAATCACAAAAATCTTTCCCAATTTTTCCCCCTAAAATGAGATGAAAATGAAACTTTGGGACACTAAAAAAAGAAGAAGGCAATTATGGAGTACCAATTCAGCAGTTTGAAGCATGTCATGGTGATGTCCCCTAGAACTGAGGGCTTTATAGATGACATCCGATTCTTTAAAGGCATCCGCCTCTATCACAACTGCATTTCCCTTTGCTTCAACCCAGAATGGCCTATAAATAGCCAATTACTTTTAGAAGTTTTAGTAACACTATAATTACTCTTAATAGTTAATAACCTTACTTTCTTATCTTTTGAAAGTAAGATACTGTCTCCTATAGAGCATAGACATGATTGGATGAAAGCTACACTTGGTTTAGATTTTTCAATTATTCTAGTGATTCTGATACTCTTATATTATGAGATTGAATCCAATCAATTATCTATATCAACTCAACGTTTTATCAACACATTATCCATATGTATGGGATGCTCTGACCTAAGTTAGTTACTTACTCTTTGAGGATGTCCTTGAGAACAGTGCTTTTGCCGGCACCCATGCCACCGCCCATGAAGAGGAGGACAGGGCTTCTGTCCTTGTGAGCCATAGGGACCATCACATCCGTACACCTGGAATCATCTGCTGCCACTAGCCCTATGGCTTTCATCTCCTCCACTAAGGTGTTGAACACTCTTGCCACCTTCAAGTTCTTTGTCACTCTCTCAAATCTCTGTTCCCTGTATTAATAATTTGTACACTTCATTTCATTTTCTTAAAAAGTAATTTCACTAAAAGAAAATTGCATGAATTGAAACCAAAACATTTCCAATGACAACAAATTTTTGTTCTACAATTGTTGGGGCAAACCACTTTTGATGCCAAAAAAAGAGGTTCAAGGATAACATTTTTCCGTGAAGTTCTCCTTTGGTGTCAAAGGTGGTGGCACCAAGTTTGGTTGATTTTTTGTCACGTACCTTGTTGCTTCCATTACAAAATTTTTCAGCTTTTTTTTCGGCCCAGAAGATTTGTCAGCACTTACCAGTGCCTGTAAATTAAATAGGACTTAAAGAATTGATACACCATGTTATCCAAAATACATCAGTAGATAATTGACCCCATGCCCTCTTCTTGTAAAGAGGTAGATTTTCAGTTGACTATATCTCGCAATAATTTGCACTCTTTTCTTTTTCATCCTCCTAAATAGCATGAGAAAGCAAAACAAAAAAGTGTAGTAGACCTGGCTAATCATATTGGAAGCCTGGCTCCAATGGAAAGCGAAATAGCTGAGAATCAACCTCTCAAACTCCTCCACAAGCTTAATGAACAGGGAATCAGCAGCTGGTTCATTGGCAAAGAAATTGTATATTTCCTCCTCACAACCATCTGCCTTTATTATATACTCTGAGGCTAATTTGCACAAAGTTGGGCACTCTCTCTTGTCACTAAATCCCATCTGCCTAGCTGCAGCATCATGTCAAAACAACAACATTAATTGTGTTTTTCTGAACCAACTTATAAGGATAAAAAATAAATATTTTCAAATGAATGAGATGACAAATTTCAGAGAATTCTAAAAGTTGGTGTAGATGTGTAGAGTTTTTCAAAATATTGCAAAGTTATCTAGAGCCATGAAACTCCCTAAACTTTGTAGAAGTGAATAACTATCCTGAATATTCAGCCTTCTAAAGAAGTGTCAAAGTCTCTAAAACTGTATGAAAGGATGTCAAATCTTCTAGAGATATGTGAGATTCTCTAGATTCTTCTAGAACACTATGGAACCTTGTGAAGATTTCCTAGAAAAATTTTAGAGATTGATGAAAAAGTCTAGAGAAGTCTAGTCTCTATTATTAGTATAAATAGGGGTACAAAGATTTTGTGAAACAACATAACCGAAGGTTCTTTAGGAGTGATTGTGAATGGGTTGATGAAAAGTGATTCCATTGTAAAGTCATTCTTGTAAACTCACATATAATACCAAAAATGCTAGAGCCACGAACAAGGAATGCTACAGTTGTATTTCACTATACAATACCAGAAATGCAAGAGTCACAAACAAGGAAGACGAAAAATTCACAAACTTATCACTTCTAAACACCACCAAAAGAATAAAATAGTCTTAAATAATTTCAAGTAACAAAAAAAATTAAATATAGAAATAGTAACTTTGTGAATTTTGTAATATTTTATTTGTGACTTTAGCATTTTTGATATAATATGGAGCATGAAATTATTTTTGAAGTTGTACCTTTGTGTTATTGAACGTGTAAGTGAGTGTACAAGAGTTTGATTGTTTGAATTGAGGATAGGAATACATATTATTCTCAACACATTTTGAAATTTGGATCGGAAACTTTTAGGAATACTGGAAATGGTTGTGAAATGATTCAAAAATTAGGAGTTTGTGCAGGGAATATTACCTACATATTGAGGAAACCCTTCAGGCTTGAGGGTCTGGCCGGATTCCGGCAGAAGCTTTAACCTCGGCACGATTTTCCGGTCGGGGCGACGGCAGATGATATGGAGGCGATAATGCACGGCGGCGGCCGCAATGAACAATCCGATGGATGACGCCAAGAGTATTTTTGTATACGTTGTCGGTTTTGCGTCGTCGGCGGAGGACGAGTATGATCCGGCGATGAATAATCTCATCAGCTGCCATGAAGAAGGTGGCGTTGATGATGCAGGACAGCTGCCGGCCTCCGCCGGATCCGGAGATGAAACCAGATTATTTCCCATAAGAATAATGGCGCTGATAATCTTAATTAGCTATGGTCATTTGTGCTTGCTTATTTAATTGCACATGCTTATGGATAGGAATCATACGATTGGATATTGTTATTTGTGCACTAGTACCATTAAAGAACAAATTGTTAGGAAGCCACTCTACATGACTCGTAGATACCTATTTGATGATTTATACTTAAAAAAAAATAATCTTCTGTGAACACAAATGATTATTGTCTGACGTTTATTTACATATAAATCAACAGTAATTGTCATTGGTGAATTTCTAACATGATCCATTAAAAAATGACTATATGACATTAGATATGGCCATTTGTACATTTATCATTATTTCTATTCTCTCTTTGTTACAAAAAAAAAATCTTTTCTTTGTTTATCCAAAATATGGAGCAATGCATGTTGAGAATGATAGGTAAAAATCTAAGATTGGCGGGAGTCAATCCAGAAAACGCACTCTCAAGTTTGGGTCTCATTATAAAAATCTTGAGATTAACTGAGACAATCTATTGAATCATACTTTCGAGGAGTGCGTGGGTTAGCCCAAGCTTCGATATGTTAAGTTCGACTAACTAACCGATGTGGCAGGAGAAGAATACGCTAAATTAGTAAGATTAATGTTTACAATATTAATACGCTAAAAATAGTAATATCCAATAGTAAAATTAGTAAGATTAATGTTTACAATACGCTAAAAATTTACAATAGTGTTACTTGTACACTATTTTTGTACACCACAACGGAAAATGTTAGAGTCACAAACAAATAATTTACAAACTTCACAAATTTGTCTTTTATAGATTTTAAATTAAAATATCTTTTATTATTTGAATGCATCTTATTTCTAGGAAAATATTAAAAAGGCAAATTTGCAAATTTCGTGAACTGTTTGTTTGTGACTCTAGCATTACTTTTTTGTAACAACTCACTATTACATAAAATATAAGTAAGATTACAAAAATGTACACTAACATTTTAGAGCAAAATTAGAGTATATAAAAATAGTGTACTCCAAAGAGACAAAATGATCTCCCAAATGGTTCAAAAAGAGTAATGCTAAATTTACAAACAAACAACTATTTTAATTTAAAATCTACAAAATGTAAATTTATAAAATTTGTAAACTACTCCATATTTGTTTGTAACTCTATCATTTTCCTTTGAAGCAACCCTAGCATAAAAAATGAAGCAACCCTAGCATAGAATAGAAGGATATGAAAACCAGCGACTGACGCCTGACGGTGCTTCCAAACAGATCCGGCGTAGAGCTTCCTTCTCCCCAGGTTAGGCATCTCCGTGCTTCTCTTACACTGTGTTTGTTTGGAGGTATGGGGAGGTAGAATTTAGGTGACTGCCAGAAAACCAGTCGCCATCTTCATATCTCCATCCTCGTCTTCCGATTGCCATCTCCAACAAGACGAGGTATTCCGATTTTTTCTCTTCAATTTTCAATTTTTTTTCGTTCTGCCTTTGCGTCGTTCTGTAGTTCGATTCTGGTTTCTGGGCGACTCTGCTCCAGATCGGAAGGTATTTAATCCTCTTATTTCTCCCTTCTGTTTTTGCATGCAATCCCGATCCCTTTTTTCCACATTGCAACCATGAAAAGGGCTTTTTGCCGGGTTTCCTCCATGAATGCTCAAAGATCTAGCCTTTTTTTCTTCTGGGTCGAAATTTATTCTGGGTTTTTGTTGTTTGGCACTTTGGCTGGAACTTTTTTTCGTTCTGCCCTTGCTCACGGATTCTCTTTCTACACGGATTTTGCTTACTTCACTTCAATTTTTTCACTTTTTTTGCTTACTTCACAGATTTTGGTTCTGCACAGATTTTCAATTTTACTTCACTTTTTTTTGCTTCCTTCAATTTTGCTTTCAATTTTATGCTTTCACAAGGATATTTTAATAATTTTAATCTTTTCCTACCTCACTTTACCTAATAAACATCCAAACACAATTTTTTAACTCATTAACTTCAATTACCTACCTACAATTACCTACCTTTACCTACCTAATAAAAATTTTACCTACCTCCAACCAAACATACCCTTATATATGAATCGTGCATTCCTTACCCTAATTTAGTTTGCCGCTAGTTTCAGATCCTGCTCGTCGATTCGATTTACTGCTAGAGCTAGAAATGTGCATTCGGAATATGATTTGAATAAGTTATTTATCATCCAGTTCCTCTATAGGATTATATCCTGCTATTCTTGAACATTCGATTCAATCGCTCTGTCATGTTTGATGTATTGAGCACTAGGTTTTGTTTTTCTCATTTTTCTTGGTGGATAAAATCATGAAATGATATGCAATAGCATGCCATATCAGCTAGGATGTTTTAATCATATCAATTATTTTGCCATCTTCAAAGAACAAAGCTTGATTTTTTTTGTTTTTTTCATATGTTATGCATGATCACGAAACTTATGGAAGTGTTCAACAAGCATAGATTGCTTCCAAAGGTTCAACGAGATGCGCCGAAAACCTATTGGAGCTCGCAGTTTAGTATTCTTTGGTTTTAGTAAGAGCAGTAGTATGGAGTGACAACTGACAAGAGCGTAACAATACAATGGTGAACATTTATAAATACTATTTCTGTGTATCCCCTTTATTTGTCTAAAACTTAGGTACAATGCATGAATTGGAAAAAGTTGCTAGTTAAAAGTTTTGTCTCTATTTAATAATCTCTAACATTTTTTAAATAGAATGTGAAGTTAGATTGTGGAGGCGCAGATTCATAGTCATCACTGACCAATTTGAGGCAATCCATGTAACATGCTTCTGTTTACAAAGTTACTGAACAACCCATGTCATTTGGGATTTTAACTGACTAATTGTCAACTTTCCTCTATGCATCTAGCAGTATGGTTTCCCGCAAAGTGCCTAGAATCTAGATCTTCATCCAATATTCAAAGGGCTTGAACATGAGTTCTGTTGGGTGCTCTCTGACTCCTTGTGGTTTTAATACGTCCTATGAACCCAATTCAAAATGCTACATTGCAACATTTACACGGCTTTCCCAGCTGCATTCCATGTCAACCTTCTCATCCATTAAGAGCTCACTGGGGTCCCATCACAGTCTAACATCTTGCTTCTTCAAAGGTGTGTATCTTTATCTAAACTACAAGTTTTGCCTAATCTAGTTGATTAGTTTGCATTTATTGTAAGGGGACATTTGGTGCTTTTTCACGAGGATTACATTTCATGGTATCTTTTTCCAGTATTGAGTTGAAACTTATCACCCATTGAGAATTACTTTCATTCCCCAAGAGAAAAATGATTCCTGTTGATTACTCAAATTCATTATATACCAAATAATAGTACTCTTTCCTTCCAATTACTAACCTTCATAGCAAATGTCTCCTAAAACTTTTGCTATAGAATTAGAGAATTAGATTATTTTAATGGTAGCATAAGTAGTTGGTACTACCTCTGTTCCTATAAGGTGCCATGTTTTTCCAAAGTACAACTTTTAGATTTGTTTTTGAATTTATCTGTTTGTTTTAACTAAATATAGCATGTTCAACTTGTCTGACACTTATTTTTGAAAAAATACCCGGAGTAATACATGCAATTTGACTGAAGTAGTTGAAGCTTAAGTTTTAGCTTTGTTTAGTGATACTCCACCTGCCATTGTTGAATGCAATTTGACTGAGCTTAGAGATTAAAAAAGTGAAAACGATATGGTTGAGATTTATGCAGGAAAAAAATAGAAATGGGCACAACATATTGGGGTGGGCCAAAAAAGGACAAGGACAACAAATTGGGATGGAGAAGTGGCAGTCTTGTTTAGCTCTTAGTTTCATAGAACTTTTATAGAATCTGTGAATAACGAGAACAAATCGACCTGAATCAATTAGGAACTCAAACCTTCCTGTTTTTGTTCTTTAAGATGCTTACTCTTAAGTCTGATACAGTGCAAGTGTGGTAATGTCCCAATTGAGTTCTCAGCGCATGTTTTCTCGCATTTCTTGCCATTTTTCTGTGATTCTTGAACAGGAGCCAAGTTCTCGAGTCTTTCTTCTGCATCAACACCTCTTTTATGTGGAGAATATCTGGGCTTCTCAGAAACCCTTTCCAAGTCCCCCAAACAAAAAAGGGTTTCTTTTTCCCCAAGGGCATCATCTAAGGATGTCCCCCAAGGTTTTCGATACCCAGCAATGACAAAGAAGCCAAGGTTTTGGTGGAGAACCATAGCGTGCCTCCCGTACCTCATGCCCCTCCACGAGACATGGATGTATGCCGAGACGGCATACCATCTCCATCCTTTCTTAGAAAAATTGGAATTCATGACCTACCCCTTTCTACGAGCCTTAGGGAGGTTACCCAGTTGGTTTCTCATGGCGTATTTCTTTCTTGCTTACCTTGGGATTGTTAGGAGAAAGGAGTGGCCCCACTTTTTCCGGTATCATATGGTGATGGGAATGCTGTTGGAGATATCTCTACAAGTTATTGGAACTGTGAGCCGTTGGATGCCCCCGGCCGTGTACTGGGGTAAGGTTGGGATGCATTTCTGGACAGCCATCGCGTTCGCGTATCTGTTCACCGTTTTGGAGTGCATCAAGTGCGCAATTTGTGGTATGTATGCCGACGTTCCGTATATCTGCGACGCTGCTTATATTCAAATTCCATATTGATTTTGAATGCTTGTGTAGCAAATCGAGATCTTGTACTGGCATTTAATCAGGTAATGTTTTGTTTTTTTGATTGATTATTGTTGTAGATTGAATACAAGTATCATCTGTTGCTAATGCCCTTTGTTCTTATTACTGTAAAATCTACTGCTGTGGGCATTAAAAGTTTCCCTTCATTGGAGATGATGGATTGCCTAATGTTTGTGTGGATTTGAGATATGTTGTAATCTTTTGCTATTTTGGATACATAAATAGGAGTATACGGTATACCCTTTCCCTTTCAAAAAAGTGTTTAAAAAAATGTCTAAAAAAATAGAGTTCCATTTGAACTAAATAAAGAAAAATGCTAGGAGTACACCAAAAAATATACCTCAAATGTACAACACTTCGTCTCTGGCACACAATTTCAAGTGTGGAAATAAAATTAAAAAATAATTAATTAATGGTTATGGTCAATAATGTATAAATAGGGTACACCATTTGGTGTGCTCCTAACATGACTCCTAAATAAACGCTAATTTTCATACTATTTATTATCTCCCAAATACTCCCTCCGTCTTATAGTATTTTTTTTGTTTGACTTTTTATAAATAAATTAGATGAATTTTAATAATCAATCAAATGAAAAATACCCCGGGGTACATTACATATCATTACAAAAATGGTTTTATTATACTATCTTGTAAAATATTCTTTCCGTCCAAAAAAGAAAAGTTAAAATTTGCTTTGACTTCCCCAAAATACCCTTACATCTACCCTCAATCCTCACTTCCTTCTTTGAACAATCATACATCTCCTTCAACCATTATTACCACAAAAAATAACTTTCTCACACATAAAATTAAATTGAGGAATTGGGGAAATCTGGGAAATTTGTAGTTAGAACTATGAACAAATATGGGAAGCTTTGGGAAAAGAAAAATTAAATGGGTGGAGGTGATGGAGATTATACTACATTAGATCTGTTCGGATCCGGCCGCCACACACCTCCGACCACCGCCTCAGAACGGAGAAGTAAGAAAGAAGATGAAGAAGAAAAGAGAAAAGAAAGAGAAGTGAAGAAAAGAGGAAAAGAACGGAGAAGAAGAAAAAGGTGTAGTTGGGTGAAGAAAAAAAAAGATGAGGGGAGAGAGTGAATGGAGGGTAATTAAGTCTTTTTAGTGTTAAAAACTTTCCAAAAAAAAAGGAAATGGAAAGTTTATTTGTGGACGGACGAAAAAGAAAAATGGAAAGTTTTTTTGTGAACGAATGGAGTAATAAAAAGTTGTTTATTGTATTGATATGTAATATGGTTTTTGAGACAACGATATTATTTACGGGGGGTGGAATTTGTGCCGGGTACAAAAGGTAGTCTATTATTTATACGGAGTATTTCTTCCGTCCATAAATAATGTTAAACTTTTTAAATCGGACGTTCCAAATGTAAAGTCACCCTTCCTTTTTTAAAATATAATCTACCATATTTTTCAATTTACACTTTTTCTCCTCTTCAAACTAAGTTATCTCTACCTTTTTTAAGTCAATGTAAATTTTTATGTGATTCTTAGGTATACACTCTTTTTAGGAACTTTAATGTATGTGTACTATGAGAAAACTTGTTTTTTTGTAAAAAAAAAAAGTCCACATCTGAGTCCATAAAAAATGTGTGAATGTTCACATTTTACAAGTAAATCTTAAAGACAGGAAAGAACAATTCATCAATCAATTAACCTACTCTTGTCTCTTTCCTATCTTTTTCAATTATTTTTATACTTTTTCTCGAACTTTAACTACATCACATCAAATCTTTCCTAAACTCCGTGTTTTCCATTTGTAACTTTACTTATGGGACGGAGGGTGTATAAAACAATAAATAAAGTGAGGGTAATTTTGTCATGTTGTGGTTGTCCATCTAGAAAGTGGACAAATACAATAATAGCCCGTTTGGAAACTTAGATTTAGATTTTAAATTCAAATCCGGTCCAAAATATTTTTTGAACCTATAATCACAAACTCAAGTTTTTTATGAGTTTGTTTCTTAAGCTTTTGGTTAAGTTGACATCAGAGCTTTGATAATCCAGATGTGATAAGTTCGAACTTTACCGTCATCCAGCGTAAAATATTAATTTTCACTTCCAAGGTTTGAAAAAAATTAATCTCACATTCAAGTTAGAGATGTTAGAGTATAGATTTTTTTCTATCTACAATACAAACTTAAATATTTAGTTGAGTTATTATTTGATACGGAGTATGATATAAGAGCCAATAGACGCTTTATACTCTCTACGTCTCAATTTAACTCGTTTATTTCGGTTTACGGTGTTTAATTAAAATTATTTTCAGTATAATTTATTTGAAAATTGGGGTGGATTAAAAAATAAAATTTGTATATTTGAAAACTACATCAAAAGTTCTACGAAACAAAAGTTGACATGATTACGTTATTTTATCAAATCAATAACGATAATAGGAAAAAATCAAATAAAACTTGTTAATACTCTCTCCGTCTCTTAAAACATTTCAACTTTCATTTCTTACTCGTCCCATAAAATATATCAATTTTATCTAAATGGACATAATTGCCTTTACTTTTCTTAAATTTAAATAAACGTACCTCAACTTCCTTTTTTGCTTTACCCATTTTGACATTTTCCATGTCCAACTTGTTTCAATTGTCGTTGTTTCGCTTTAATCAAACTTCTATATTTTCACTTCTCAAAAGTCAAGACTGGAAAAGTTTCCCGAGACGCAGGAAGTATTAAACAAGTAACCAAATTTAGAACTGAAAGAATATACTACAACAAAAAATTATTTGTGGGATCAAACAATCAAACATGATCTTTTTTGGCAAATATCCCATGTGTGGATTGGGGAAATAAATAGTGGAATTTCCATGTTTCTTTGTGGGGGGAAGTCGAAGCAATAAAAACCATTGAAATCGCCCACACAATGGGTTAAAATATGATTAAATATTTTTTGATAGGCCCAATGTTTAGCATATACAGAGTACTATAAAAAATAAAACTAATCATGTGACTGGACTTTGAGAAAACAAAAATGAAGATGCCAATTACACTTAAAGGCATGTTTCAATAAAAAAGAAAACTTTGGCAAATGACTTGTTTTTTTTTTGCTTTAACTTTAATTGGTATTTGAAATATAAAGTATGAAGATTAAAATTGAAATTTTAAAATTAGAATTTGAAGAAAAGAATATAGAAACTACAAAGTTTAAAGCGTCAAATCTAAATAAAATTATAAGTTCAATAAAAATTATAAGTACAAACTTTTACTATCTAGTATCATTACAAAGAGAAGTGCATGTTCACAAAAAAGATCAGCATATATAGATGATTGATTAATGGCCTTTTACATTAACATATTACGAGTATGTTGTATATTATGCAATATTTGGGTTACATATTTCACGAAAATATAAAATCTTAAGAAAATAATAGTGAAATATTCATGTTAATAACATTGATACAATTGGTTTTCTTGAAAGGTGAGGTTGGACCAATAATGCTAAGCCCAGTCCCCCAATTGAGCAAGCCTGCATGAAATGGTTCAGTTGCTCAGTCTGTTAGTGAGTTCTAATCTACGTAAAAAATGATATGAGTTGTATTAAAGACTATTTGAATGTAATGTTAAGATATCCACCAACCAAGCTAGAATGTTTCTTGCTGTTTAAAATAGGTGGGATTATTTTCAATAAAGTTAGGATTATCATGCATCACAGTGAAAGATGAGATTATTTTTGAAAGACCGGGTAAAGTTGGGATAATTTTGGATAATTTTTCCTTAATAATAAATAGGGTCCAAACCTATTAGAATTTGGTCTAATTTGAAATCGTTTATTCTTTGTCAAATCCGGTTCGATTTATATGTTCAATCCAATATTTGTACACCTAACTTGTTTTACACTTTTCAATTTATTTATAGTTCTATATATTTTTAAAATTTTTAAAATTAGCTTATTATTTCTTGGTCCCAATTTGATTTGGACACTTTTTTTGTTGGAATTTCGAAAAAATATATATTCTTAAATAAATAAAAAAATATTTCATCCACCACTCTCAGTTTAGTTTTTAACATATTTTAATCATTAATCTTTTTTTCAAACCAGGAGAAATCAAACCGTTTAAATTAAAACGAGAAAGCATATAGATTGTAGAATAAAAAAATGTCAGGTGGACAAAACTTGTACGATAGTGTGTTACAGAAACACACAAACAACCATTGCACACAAAAAGTTAGGGGAATTTAACAAAATAATACTAAAACCTAATGAATTTTTTAATGTTGTATCATAGGTTTTTATTTTCCAATGTAGTATCATTAGTCATTATTCACTGGTCACTGTTCAAGTAAAATGTCTATCGCCACTGGACATTATTGTTCAATCTAAATGTCCATCATCACTGGACATTATTTCCACCACTAAACATTATTTAAAAACTATTTAAGAAATAAAAAATTTTAAATACTATAATAACAAATGATATATGTTTAGTATATCATTTATCTATAATACACCTATAAAAAAAACTATGTAGAATTGAACATGCATGCATCACAATGATATGATATCCTAAGGCACTCAACTTTGGTGCCCAAAGATGGCAGCAAGTGGGTCCCACTAGCTTTTCCCTGCTCCCTCTCACACCCAATAACCACACCGTGTGCCTANCCCCAAACCCCCACCACACCCTCAACTCCATTATTATCCACACATTATTTATCTCCTCAAATAAATAAGTCCCATTAAATTTTGATCAGATTTTATTAAGGTTTAACCTTTTGGTGTCATTTGAACTGATTCGGATAATTAAATCAAAGTTGTATATAAGGGCTTTCAGTATAAAAAAAAAAGTATGTTTCTAAACAACGGTTCTTTTGTTCGGAGGAATTCTGACCTTAGAATGATCCGAGCCCTCTACGATATTCCGTTAAGAAAATTGATAGTTTCTATCCCCTAACTTCTTCAGTTCTTCTACATCCCACCCAGCACTCCCTACCCCACAAGATTGCCAATTTGGCACTGCCAAAATCGCAATCTATGGGACAGGGAAGTGTTGGGTAGGGTGCAGAGTGATTTATGAAGGAATAGGAATCATCATTTTTATTAATAGAACACCGTAAGTGCCCAAAACATTAAGACCATTTAAGGTCAAATTAGGCTCGGGTCAAAAGATCTTTGCATATGTTTTTAATCTAGTCTGAATCTTTATAATTAGATATGAATTTTTTTTAGGCATAACAAACTACACCCATCTGAGCTTGTCTCAATATACCCATTAGAAAGTTTTAATATTTGCTAATATTTAAAATTCAGCCCCTCAAATACTTCTCAATTATGAATGCCATCATGTGAAACTCACTTTTCAGTGATATGGTGAGTGTTGAGTGTGGAAAATAGACTCTCATGCATGATAGGACTTATTTACACACAAATTAAATTAATGGAACCCCACCCAACAATATCTTTCATATGAACAATAATAATGATAATCAAGAACCAACACAATTTGAAAATTCATACACAACCAAGAGGTACAAAAAAAATCAATTATTCCCACAAATTAAATAGTAGTATGATATTTTAAATTAAATAAAAATAAATAATTTTTTAAAAAAATACACATGTCATTTCAAGATTTCTAAAAGTGGTACCTTCCCAAAATTAAAAAGGTGCACATTGACTAAACTTCATAGGCAATAAGAACATAATTCATCTCATATATACATAGACATTAACTAATTGCTTTGCTCATCAAGTAAAAACCAGCATTACAAGGCTACAAAGCATGAAAACCTAAGAAAAAGTTAACTTAAGGACCTGCATTCCTCAGATTCCCAACAAAGTTGTCAAGTGGAAAAAGCTTCATGGGAGGGTAAAATGGTCCATCCTCATACAAATGGCTAATACCAACCTTCTGCCTTTTCAAGAAGACCTCCTCTACATTGTGATCATGGGGTGGACGAGAGCTGGCCAAGCGGTCCAAATGTGGCGGTGATGGTACCCCTGCGGGGCCCAACCGCAAGGATAAGTCACACTCGGGCTCGGGTTTGTTCAAGGGAGCATTACAAGCATTCGAGTTTTGCAAAGAAACGTCACTCCAAACACACTTTGTATATTCTTTGGGCAGATTAGGGTGAGATTCAGAGCTGGAATATAAGGGATAAACAGAATGGGAATTCGTGGGAGGAGGCAATCTTCGGTTCACGCAGTTTTCAGGCAAGAAAGGGAAAATCTTGTCACAATTTGGTGGTGGGACGAAACCAACATTTGAGGGCACAAATGGAATGTAAGCATTTGGTCTGCCATGAATTTGGTCGCGCAAGCTCACCGAGGAACTGGAGGGGCCCTCTGGATCCCGAGAACTGAGGTAACACACATTCGAAATGTTTCGTTGGCTCCTTGTTGTTTTTCTTGGTGTGCAGCCAAGATGCAATGCAGCTAAAAAAACAGGCAGAATTTTTCTTTAGATGAAAACCAGATAAAACGCGTTATTTTGGCTGAAATAGATGTTACGAAACCCAGTTAAATCCCTACTTAGAATTAAAAGGGAACACATACAACAAATACAACAACAATCCCAACAAAATCCCACAAAAGTAGGGTCGGGGAAGAGTGTATGTACAAAGACCTTAACCCCTACTTAGAAGTATAGAGACCGTTTCCAAGAAACCCTTATACAACAAAGACTATCAGCAAGAACCAATCAAATGTCGCATTTCATTTGAAGCGATGATGCAAAAAGATGTGTGTGCCCTCACGGCTGTAGATTGGACTTAATTGGGTTGGGAAGGGCAAAAACCCTAGGCCCCAAAGAAGAGCTTAGGGACAAGGCTGGATTTTCATGACAATGCACATTAAAGATCAAGACTCAATTTTTCTTCAAAGGGAAATTATAAAGAAAAATCAAAGGGTACATTTCATTGTATATACCTTCAATACAAGGCTGCAGAAGATCTCCAGTCTCAGTGCTCTCATCTCTTCTGATTATAGTGTCAATGGCATCATTCACTCTGTCCCAAAGAGTTTTGAGATCTACATACTCAGCCTAACCAAACAAATCAACCAGGGCAAAACTGTAAAAAACAACCAGACATCATTGTACACACACAGAGGTAGAGACATTAGGGTTTACGAGAGGAACCAAAACCTCAGAATTGGCTTTGAAGTACATAATTTCCTCAGCTTTCAAGACAACAATAGGGAGCTTCTCCTGCCACTCCCTGTTCTTCTTGGTTGAAGAGCTGTGGCTCTCACTCACAAGTCTGGATTTTATTTTTGCGCAAAGAGCCATTAAAAGAGGAATCTCGAATCTTTAAAGGGAGGAGGGGCAACAGGGGCAAAAAGGGTACCTGAAAATTTCTTGAATTATGGAACCCCTCATGGGTTGGTGCCTATCACTGTGCCAAGCTCTTCTCACACACTCATAGGGCCTTGGACCAGGTCTGGGCATCTTCAAGAACCAGCAGAAACAAGAAAAGAAAGAAGAAAAAAGAAAAAAAAATGCAATCTTGGGGTTGAATCCTGAAGGAGGGGTGGGGGGGGGTTCTTGTTCTTGGGAGAAAGAGCAGTCAAATTCAAGCAGTTGTACTGATGGAGGGAGGCTAGAAAAGGAAAAAAAGCTTTGCTTGACCTGTGACTCTCACTTCTGAATCCTGACCCCTCTTTTTTTCTCTTTTTTTTTCCTTCTTTTTTTGCAAAATTAACTTCAAAAACAAAACCCCTTAAAAAATAAAATAAAATAAAAATAAAATTCAAACAATGAAGTGGGAGATCAACTATCCCAACAGTCAGCAAATGAAAAGAACACAACATAGAGAGAGAGAGAGGCAGAAAGAGGACTCAACATCAGAACAAACAAGGACTAGCCACCCCAATAATGCTCTTACCCTTATTTATTACTCTCCGTCCCACTCTTTTTGTCCACTTTCATTTTTGCACACCATCCAATGCACTTCTTTAATCCATTTTATCTTGTAATTTGTATATTAAAAAATTATAAAAATTATATATTAATAATCTACATGTTAAGACAAATCAAACAAGATCACACATGACTATTTTTAGACTTACACATTGAGAGAATTTGATGAGTCAAAGTGCTTAGATGAACAGTTCCAAAAGTCAAAACTGGACAAAAAGAGTGGGACGGAGGTAGTACTCTGTAAATAGGGAGCATATACTCCATTATAATGGCTGCTGGGTTTTATTGACATCATCACAACCATCAAATTGAAGCTCATAAACAAATGTCTCAAATGTAACTTTTTTTAGTCAAATTGGACAAAATTATCAAACATGTACAATTTTATACTCACATGATGTTTACATCAATCAATAGGATCAAACATATACAATTTTATACTCCCTCTTCCCTTATTTAATTACAAATTAAGAGTTACAAGAAAAATTTCTCATCTTTTGAATTCATTATATTTACAAATTGGTATATCAATAAAAAATAAAAATTACATATTAAAAAATTATGTCGATAGTTCTACAAAATGAGAGGTGACAAGAATATTTTTTTATCAAATATTCAATGAAAATACACAACTAAAAAAAAGTTATCGAGAGAAGAGAGAAAAAAAATGTAATTCATTTCGGGACGAAGGCAATATTTCTTTTGAATTCAAGCGCCAATTACTTTTGACGGTATAGTGCATTGAATGTTGTCTTATTAAAAACCTTACCAAGCAATATACCTCTGGGAAAAAATAAAATTTGGTAAAGGAAAAAAGAGTACAACATAATAAAATCATACATCAATACTGTCCCTTATACTAAACAATACTCCTTACATGAGTTACATGAGATAATCTATATTATACATTCTATACACATGATAGTAACTATTTACAATTTTCTCTTAACATTTTATAAAATTTATGTTTCTTTTCTTTGCCCAGTCATTATTTCACACAAATAGGTGCCTCTCCAAAAATAAATCTCATTTTCTTTTTTTTTTTGAAATAAAAATGTCATTTTCACTTTCCATAGAATTTAACAAAAAACTAAAAGTGCGTATATATCTGTAGAAATTTGTTTGTTTAAGAGAAAAAATTATTATAAGTCATATTGATACAATTTGATACTCCAATTAGTCTTATTAAATAATGACGATCCCACCAGTATTTATACACAAAAATTTTCAACTAGAATATCAATAGAACTATGGTAAAACAACATAATATGAAAAGTAAATGATATATCTCCTATATATGCACATTTATTACTCCGTGAGAATATTTGCTAGTTAATCTATATAAGGAATGTGATAGGTTTTCATGATATTATGCCAGTCATGACTTCATTTCGCAGAAAATTACAATATGAACCAACATGCTTCATAGATCATGGAAAATTGAATTTTGAAGATACAAATGGTTGATTTATTGTCGTGATAGATCTATGGTTTGGAGGAAGGGATGCTTTGAGAATCAATAATATAGAAAAGCCAAGTAACTTTTGTCACCCTTGCAGTCATGGAGTTATACTCGGCTTCAGTGGAGGATCGAGAGACACGAGTTTACTTCTTAGCTTCGTACATTAGAAAATGAATTTGGGACCAAGCATGAGAAGGTAGCTAGTGGTGGGCTTTTGATCATCTTTGTTATTGGCCCAATAAGAATCAGAGTAAACAGATAAGTCGAGAAACCCTTTATGAAAAGACCATGGTGCAACGTACCTTTTAAATAACGATCAGGGCTTGGTAATTTTGTTCAGTCGGATTGTGCACCGTATGAGAACCTAATTAATTACATTTTGCATGTATACATGAGGTACCGCCAGACAGTGCAGACCACCAACAATGCTAGCTGTGGAAAAGAGTGAGATTCGAGAATGGTGCACATGGTGCTAGAACCGTCTGAACTATGCCAGAATTGTCTGAGCCACCATGGGAGTGGTGGCAGATTTGCAATATGTCATTCCTTTGCGAGAAGATCAATAGTATACTTTGTTTGATGAAGAAGAATAGTATCCTTAATCGTTAGACTTCAATACCAATGAAAAATTTGTCTCCCTCAGACTCAACCAGACAGTCACTGATAGAAGATAAATTAGACTTTGATCGTAAGTTGGCGACAAAGAATGGAATTGCACCCGATTCTTGCAGATGCCGTATGCTTAGTGTAACTGTCCCCCAGTGCATTTGCAAAAAATCAAACTCGAATCTTATCCTATCGATACTCTTTGTCATGACAAACTGCGTAACACCCACGAACCGTTAATTTGTTCTAATAAAAAAAGAGAGGGTGGTGGAAAAAATGGGGTTTGGTGTGTCTCCTATTCATCCACATGCCACCATCCCATGGCCCTAAAAGGGTATTTTGCATGCACCAACCCAAATTAAAGAAAAGGGAAAAAGGCTAACAATCCATGTGGGTTGGCCAAGTGGGTGTAGAAAATTAAACATTTTTTTCAAGAAAGAAACCGTAGCATTGCTACTGTCGGTGGGGATGCCAAACAAACCCCAGCCTCACACAAACGTCAATATCCAGTTTTCCCTTACCTTCTTCAACGCTGTACCACTAACCCAACCCTAACTCACCCTCCTGTAATGCCGTTCAAATTATAGAAATCATCCTAAATAGGACTAAAACATAGAGAAAAGTATCAAAATAGGACTTTCATGTTTTTTTCCCGGAATAGGACTTTGCACTGTGGTAATGTGACTTTGCATTGTGGTAATGTGGCAGTGTACATGTGCAAATTACTATACTTTTTTGGTAATGTATATGACCATGTTTGGTAATGTAAGTCATATTTTGGGAATAAATACATGGAAGTCATATTTTGGTATATTTTCAATGTTTTAGTCTTATTTTGGTCTTTCTCCCTTCAATTTAAGCCTTCTTTGGGTCACCATAATTAATTATTACTTCTTCCCTTTGAAAAAAAGATTAGTTCAATTTATTTTTCTGTTTAAATTTAGTTGTTTATTTCTTTGTTTTATTCCCATTCATCGAAAATTAGTTGTTTATTTATCATATTTAGTAAACAAATCGAAGTGTATATTATCTAATTTACGCTCTGAATCACATATAAATAACTTTGTTTACATGTAAATGAAACTCAATCAAAGATTTAATTCTCATTCCGGGTTTACTTTTTAGTCCCTCTGTTCTATATTTACTGTCTATTGAACTGTCTTGATACATTAAAGAATGAATTGATGTAGACATACTTTATGTCTACATTCATCCATCTTTCAATGAATCAAAAAGAGTATTAATAAACAGTCAATATGGAAGGGAGGGAGTAAATATGAATTATTTTAGAAAATGAATATAATTTAAATCAGGACGATGTTAAATGTTGACTATTATATATATATATATATATATATATATATATATATATATATATATATATATATATATATATATATATATATATATATATATATATATATATATATATATATATTAAAAATGTCTAAAACAAGTTATATATTGTACTTCCTTCGTTCCGTAATGATTTTCTTATGGTTTTCTTGTTCGGATATTTTAAAAAATACTTTACACTTACTTTATTCGATCTTAATGTTGGTAATGAATATGTGACTACCAAATTTTCCCTCATCTAAACAAATTCTAACCATATATTTTCTTTGTTAACAACTTTTTAAAACTTTGTGAACTAAAAATGTCAAGAGTTTCAAGAGACGGAGGAATTACTATATATTATAGGCGAATTCTTTGATGCACTCAAGGTGTAGGGCGCATTTGGCACACCTACGGATAAGCAAATAGTTTGTGTATAAGATGAGCATTTCTCTTTTTTTTTAAGATAAAAGCTTCACAAGAAGTATTGCAACATTTAGGTCCACTATTGAAGCATTCTACATTGTATTTGCTAGATTTTCTTGACATTAAGAAACAAAATATTTCAACAAAATATTTTCTTGACATTAAGAAACAAAATATTTTCTTCACAAGTATTGCAATATTTTGGTCCGTTGAATTCTGAAAGTTTTGGGCTTTTTAAAGTCTTTGGCTTTGTCCAATATGTCAGGGCCCTTCACTTTTATGGCATGCATTTCTGCGCCCACTTTGATTGATTACCCACTTACGAGTATTACTTAAAGCCCACTAGTAAGTACTCCTAATAACTACCCATTTCAGGAAGGGTAAAGCATTTTAGGACTCATGGCCAAAATAAAAATCACAATTCGATTTGCAATAATTGATTGTATTTAATTTTAATACAATTTTTTTAAAAAAAAATTAATGTATATATTTGTACGAAATATAAATAATTATTTTAATATACTTCGTATAAAAAATGAAAATATAAGTTGGCATGAATATGTGTCTCATAACATTCCCATTTCTTCTGCAAAATTGTTGGGCTTTGTGGAGGCTTGTTTGTCGGCCCAGCCCAGTTGTGCGTAGCCCTAGTTTTTTTCCCCTATATATATAGGGCTTGTACTTGTAATCTGTACCACAAGTGAAATAAGAAAATCCTCCCGTTGCAGCCGTGGATTAGGGAAACCGAACCACGATAAATTCTTGTGTGTCGTTTGTGTTCCGTTTCTCTCTTGATTCTCGCAGATATTTGTGTGTGTTGTGTGTTTAATTCCCAACAAGTGGTAGTGGGAGCGGGAACAGACGAAGGAGTCAGTCGAAGAATCGGGATAGCTCAGGTGTAACGTGCTGGAAGTGCAAGGAGGTGGGGCATTTTAGGAATCAATGTCCGAATGATAAGAAAGTAAACATTGCTCAAGGTTCTGCGAGTGACGAGGAGGTCGCTCTGACTTGCTGTGAAGAAAGCAATGTGGATTCCTGGGTCATGGATTCTGGTGCTTCATTTCATGCTACCCACAGCGGTGAAGCATTGCAGAATCTAGTTTTTGGAGACTTTGGAAAGGTACGACTAGCAGACGACAGAGCTCTTGAGGTAACGGGCATGGGTGACATGGTGTTGAAGACCCTAGTTGGTTTCTGGACTTTGAAGTATGTCAGAGTGGTTCCAGCCTTGAAGAAAAGTTTGATTTCTGTCAGGCAGTTGGACGAACAGGGACACGAGGTGAAGTTCAGAGATGGGCAGTGGAAGGTCATAAAGGGAAATCTTGTCATGGCCCGCGAAAGAAAGAGTGGTTCGTTGTATATGGTCGAGTTACCATCTGAGGGAGTGACCGTCCCAGTTCAGAAGAAAAACGATGTCCGGTTCATAGAGTCTCGTGGGCAGAATAAGGTTGTCTGTGCAAGAGAGAAACCTAGAGCCACTGGTCAGACTCAGGATGAACGAGTGTGGAAAGGTTCAAGGAGGCC